TATGATTTATTTTTTGAAGCTGGGTTTTGAAGCTGGGTTTGCATGTGAAGACAGCACTAAGAATGCTCAGGTTTTCCTCCTCCCTTCTCTGCCAAGTACTATAATCTCTTCATTCTGGAATCACTGTGAAACACAGAGCATCTATTCCTTGGACATGTACAGAAACCCACAAAGAATGGATTAGCCCATATGTTTAACATTTTAAATACTTGGAGTGTTTCGAGATTAAAGTTCAAGTAGTATAAAGGGAAGGGGTATGGGTTTCTTTGCTCTTGTATTAAATTGTCATGTGTCTTTCTCAATACCCCTTTCCACTTACATTGGGAATGTGCTCATCAGAGAAGGCTGCTTGCATGCTGTGAAACTATAAAGCTTGGACTTCCTTGGCTTCAAGTAGTTCTTGAGCTTTGAGAATGCGTTTAAATTGTGAAAATGAGCTCACAACTCAGTTCAGTGCAAAAGCATTCTGTCGTGGTGGCTGCAAGTAGTTAGTAGTCTGTTAATTTCAGAAATTTAAAATTCTGATATTGAAGGAGTTAATATTTTATATGAGAGATCTTGGAATGTCAGTATCTAAAATGGAGGAGTATTTATGTGTTCTTGTGAGATCGTGCTGCATATCCCCTGATTAAATTACTTGGGTTTCACTAGAGTTCCTACTGAAGAATACATTAGAGGTTTGTTAGAGAATTAAGAGGCTTCACTTAAAGGTGTTTCCTGTAAATTGCAGTCCGGCTCTGTGGGACCTTATCAGACTGTCCTGCATTTCATAATAACCTTAACAGCTGTGTTGGAGAGAGCCTTTATTTAGGAGGAAACAGCATCTGAACGCTATAGATCAAGTTTCCACTTTTAGGAAGGTGAGATTATATTCCTCCCAATTAGCTTGTTCAGAAGAGGCAAGCTTGACCTGTAGGAGGAGAAACAATGTCCCTGTGTTGGCAGCGTTCACGTGGCAGAAAACAAAAAGCATCCGTTGTTGGTGCTGGTGTGGGCTTTAGTTGTTTATTTGTCTTTAAGAAAGAACAGAACAGGTTTTGCCTCTGGACTGTGAATAAATTTGCAACCAAATTCTTCTGCCTTTGTTGCAATATCATAAGTGTGTGTAACTACAGGAGTGTATGACTGACTTTTTTTAACAGTATGGGTCAAAATAATTTTTCCTGGTTTTGATGAGTATGTAGTATAGTGTCCCAAAGCAGCTATTTTCAAACTTCAAAATAATTTTTCCTGGTTTTGATGAGTATGTCCCAAAGCAGCTATTTTCAAACATCAGGTCTGTTTCTTAAACACGAACTGTCAAACTGGAAATTAAATAAACTGAAGAGAAGCAGGGGGGTAGGACTAGGTGATCTCTAGGGGTCCCTTCCAACCCAAAACATTCTATGATTCTAAGCATTGGCTGGAATTATTGCCCTATTCAACCACTTTTTAAATGATCCTTCCTCTAAGGCTGTTCCTGATAAATGTTTATAAATAGTGTTTTAAAATGGCATAGGGAAATAACTGAAGCTTTGCTTTACTGAAAATGTTGTCTGTGAGTAGTGACCTGAGCAAATGTGCTCCAGCGTTTGCTGTCTGGGTCTTGCAGCCTGTTGCAGTCGATGCCTTGCAGAAAGGAGAGGTGCAGCCGTGTCAAATGTACAGCAAAGTCAGATACTGGAGTGGTTTGAGATCCTATTCTATACGGTAGAGGTAGAGCCTTAACTCTTCCACTCCTGCCGAAACACACTGGTGCTGTTAGCAGTATAAACACGTAGGTGAAGGGGATGGGTGAGGTGTTGCTCATGGTGGCATCTGCTAGAACTCTCTGGTGGAAGAAAAGCCAGTTTCAGCTGTTGTGGGAGTCGAGTGAAGCCTTCTGCTCAATATCCATGTTACTCACCATTTTTCTTGTTGTTTTAATTTAAATAATCAGAATTGAAGTATTTGTTTAAAAAAAAAAAACCAAAAAAAACCAACAAAAAAACCCCCCAAAAAACCCAAACAATGTCTGAAATGTTTTGTAAGTGTGAAGTTTTCTGAAACCTGATGCTTGTCTGTTTTGCCAGCCTAAAGTTACCACAGATGAACGAATATTTGCATCATTCCTGTGCTGGCACAAACAAGGGGGGGAAATCCCAACCCTTTGTGTGAAGAAAGGATAGCTTAGTTAATGACTCCGTGTTCTGTTTTACTGGTAATAACACTGTCTTTAAATTAGTGAGAAGAAGAGGTCCTAATAATAAATGGACTTTTCTAAAGTGTTTGTTCATAATTCTGTCTGAAATCTAACATTACCCCAGGCTCTGTTGTGACTGCTTTAGAAAGATCCAGTATCTTTTCTACTAAATAAACATAAATGAAAAGTTAAAAAAAAAAAAGTTATCCTCTAATGGATAATACAAAGTCCCATTAGCAGGCTACATTTAATTATTTATAGATTTTTAGATTATGATAATATCTTAGAAATTTGGAACAACAGAAATTATAAAGCTAATTCTGAGTATAAGCTTATTCCTTTGGGTTCTTTAGTTTTGTTGTTTGGGTGGTTTTTGTTTTCTTTTAGTTTCCTGCTTGTGAGACTTCCAAGGTACCACCATGGCCTTTGGAGAAATGTAATAATATTCTAGATGTAATCGGTGAAAGGTTTCCCATGACATTGAATTTATAGAGTTGAGCAAGGGCAGTCTAATCCTGGTCACTCAACTGAGCCAACAGATGCTTTTATTTTTAAATGTTTTCCTAACTTGGAAGCAGAACTGAGTAAACTGAATGTTCCATCTGTAGAGGATGCTGAGATGGTCTTCAGCAGCTGTTGAAGACCTGCATGCACCGGGCAACAAAACCACTTTCCAAATGTTCTGTGAGGCTGTGTCTGTGGCTACAATGGCATTATCCTCTTGAAGATGAGTGCAAGGTGTCATTTGTCACTGACAAAAGAATTGCTATTTTTGCCAATATAGTAACGCCTGTGGAATTATTCATTTGCTAACAACCATTTGTACTCAGCGTCTGTGAATGAAATTCGTATTTTTCTTATCCTTTGTATTTCATAGAATCATAGAATGTTTTGTGTTGGAAGGGACCCCTAGAGGTCATCTAGTCCAACCCCCCTGCAGGAGCAGGGACACCGCTAACTAGATCAGGTTGCTCAGAGCCCCGTCCAACCTGGCCTTGAATGCTTCCAGGGATGGGGCCTCCACTGCCTCTCTGGGCAACCTGTTCCAGTGTTTCACCACCCTCATTGGAAAGAATTTCTTCCTTATATCCAGTCTAAACCTACCCTGGTTTAGTTTAAAACCATTACCCCTTGTCTTGTCACTGCTGGCCCTACTAAAAAGATTTTCCCCATCTTTAAGTACTGAATGGCCGCAATCAGGTCTCCCCGCAGCCTTCTCTTCTCCAGGCTGAACAACCCCAATTCTCCCAGCCTGGCCCCATAGCAGAGGTGCTCCAGCCCTCGGATCATTTTTGTGGCCCTCCTCTGGCCCCGCTCCAACACTTCCATGTCCTCCTTGTGTTGAGGGCTCCAGAGCTGGACGCAGTACTCCAGGTGAGGCCTCACCAGAGCAGTATTTGTAACAGTTGAAACCATTTTTTGAAATTGCCACAATTTGGAGAGAGATCATGACACTGTTATTTTATAAATGCTGTTAAATTTTTGTGTATCAGTTTAGAAAAAAAATATTTTACAAATCACTTAAATCAGTCAGGAAAACCAGAAGTGACTTACATCCCAGAAATCTGGAACTGCTTACTCAAACTGTAAGATTCTGGTTGTGGTTTTTTGGTTGGTGGTTTTTTTGTCCATGGTTTGAGATCAGCCAGTGTTTTATGGATGTCATAAAAATAGGACTGGGTTTGACTTAAACCAGGAGGGACATGAGGAAGAACCAAAGTTTGTCTAACAAGCTCTTTACATAAATCTAGCTAATAAAGCTGCTCTCAGTTCTGAACATAAAGACATGTTCTGTATTTGTTGTGAAGCTCTTCCTGGCTTAGATCAGTACCTAACTAATGGTCAGTGCATAGTTCTGTAATGGTCTGGAGTAAACTGGAATTTGTTAGTGAAAGAGAATCACTTGGGTGACAGTAGGCTGTGCTGGGATAACAGACATGGCACTGTAGCTGGAGTAGTTCTTCACTTTGATTTGACTGGCTGCATAGGAATGTGTGCTGTCTCTTAGAGGTTTTTATATACAGATTTAGATTGTGTAGCTTGACAGAAACAACTCAAGGTTTGGAGGTTTTTTTAGAATAATTAGATGCAACATTGGCAAGTTCTTCCAAAACTTTCTCAAGTTTCATCGTATTTTGTTTGGCTTTGCATAGACCGTGTTTGGTGTGATTGTTTGTTTCTTAGGTAATGTTTGAAAATTCTTAGAGAAAAAGGTGGAATGTCTATGGTCAGCCTCTAGAAATTTTTCCTCTTTGGAGTTAACCATTGGAGTCTCCTTTCATCCCTGTGTAGCTTGGATCTTTGTTACAGACAGAAGCTAGGATTAGCCTCAAAGAAAAAGCGAGCCATCTAACACTCCAAACACAAATAGTGCTTGCTGTAGGAGTCAATGTTCAAGTTGTTTTATTCTGGGGTGTGACAGAACTGGAATACTGCTGTCGTTTCAAGAACATCTTAAAAGAAGAGTAACCATTGGCAGCTATGATGAAGTCCATATTTCAAGAGCAATTTGAGTCCATATTATGGACTATATTCCTATTTAAATAGGAAATAGTTCATTCCTCATCCAGCCAAGGTGTTTGAAAAGAGGGGATCTGACTTCTGTATGCAAAGCCTTGATTAAAGATAACCATCCACTGTGACAGGCAGTCACAGAAATTTATTTAGCATATGTTTCTATTAAGAGAACTTACCTGGGACAACTTAAAATAAATAACAGTTACTTTTAACATGTCTGTACTTACAATTTTTAACACTATTAGGTTGGAGATATTCCTTCATGAGTCTCCAAAGAGATTGTTTATTAACTTTCCTAAAAATACCTCTTAATTTTTCAACAGGTTCATGAACCACCCAGCTCCAGCAAACAGCCGCTACAAACCCACTTGCTATGAACATGCTGCTAACTGTTACACACATGCAGTAAGTACATTTCCCTTTTTTTTTTTTTTTAAACCAGATATTTCAGTACATTTTTACGGGTTTGGATGGCTAAATGCTTACCTTTGCCCAAGTGTGTTCATATTTACAACCTCTCTGGTTTTGTTGTATAAGCTTCAGCTATAACAGTCCAGAAAATGTAATGTTAATTAGATGGCCGGTAATCACTAGTCCCTGTTCTGAACCTCTAGGAGCTCCCGATGCTTCATAAGATTCCTTTTCACCAAAGTGAGTTACATGTCTTTAGATGTTTTTGCTCTGTCCTAGTCAAAGGATGGCTACGGTAAAGTGAATATAGGTCTATACTAGTTAGTCTTGCAGGGCAGATTTCCCAGTACTGTGCTTACATGGTGGTGTGCAAATTGTATACTGGAAATGTACGAAAGATTGATTCGTGTTAGAAGTGGAAGGCTTTGTGAGACTGTGGGTATTAGCTAGAAGAGCTAGAATGGCTTAGTTCTGATGCTTATTATCTATGAATTGATTCTTCAAGAAGTCTCCTATTTTGAAAGAGGCACTAATAACGCTGGCAGCCCTACTAAAAATCCTAGTCAGTCCTTATTTTATAATGTATGGACCAATACTAGCTTTAAAAATATGATATATGGTCCCTATCTTTTTTTAGTAGTAATTGGGAAGTTTAATTTGCTGTGTGGCACTTTGAAAAGGACTTAAAAATGTGTGTGTTTGTTTTTTAAGATAGCATTTGCCCTTTTATAGAAGCAGCTTGTGCTTCTCCTCAGTCCCTTGTTTAATTCCAAATATTTGAAGTATGTTTGACTTTGTCCTCAGACCCTTATCTCTAGAGTGTCTGAGTGAGCTACAGATCTGAATGCTCAAGGTAGTGCATGGGACTCTTCAGTTCTAGAAAGAGCTCTGATCTTCAAGATCCTTCGTGTGCATTTTATAAATAACCAGCATGCAGCTCTGTTGGTAAAAACAGGATCACCTTGGTTTACATATAGAAAAGCTTAACTGAAGCTTATGCGTTTTTAAGCCAAGGGTCTCATGTACAACATTATGTAAATATATGCTTATTTGTCTAGAGAATGAAGCAATATTCTGTTAGGTAGCACAAATACATAGTTTATCTCATAATCCTTGTACAAATCTTGTTTACTCTGGCCAAAAGGTTAGATTTCAAAATCTCTGGCAGAAGTTGCTCTACTCCTTAGCAATTCTAGCCTTCACCCAGTTGAAAAACAGGCATGTCTTACTCCTGCTTCTTAGCAGTAGGTTACAGCCAAGATGTCATATCAGTATTTTCTGGTATGCTACGGTTTTTGGTGAAGCTGTCTGGTTACTTTCTGAACAGTCAAGCTACATTCTAAACCTACCATGAGCTGTTAACAGCTTGGTGGTATGCAATGTTAACACACCCTTTGGAAGAAAATAGAGTGTCCTATAAAAGAGGGATTGTTGCTACTTAAATAAAATTGCATGCAATAAATAACTTTTATTCAAAATGTAAAGCCTTGAAATACGAATCTAATCTGGGAAAGCACAGTGGATTATACAGAAAAAGCTGATGGGGATGCTTGCTTCTCTGTGTTGCAGACTGCTTTACTAAATGTTGGATGGTCAAGTGGTTGAGTCTTTGCTGCTAGATTACAGTCTGAGTTTTCAACTAAGACAGTGATATCGTTTCTACAAAATAGTTTGGCAATGGTTCTCCATATATTTTTTCCAAAACTTTTACAGTTCACAAAGTAGTCAATTTATACATTTTATGAGCGTGACTGTACTACTTGGTAGGTGTCTTGTCCGTTTTTTTGACTTAAAAATGCACAGTAGTCAGTTTAGTCAGCTGCTTCCAAAAAAAAACCCAAAACAATTTAAAAATGGGGATACAGAATCCCATGCATAGCTTTTTGTTGCAATACTTAAAAGCTAACTTTTTGTAGCATAGTGAGGTATCTTCAAATTTCTCATTAGTAAGGCTATTTAAAATGTCTTGGTTTTTTTAGCTTTAAATGAAGCACTGACATGTCTTTAGATGCTAGAAGAGAGGAAGGGCAGCTAAGCAGTTGAATACAGACAGAAGAGATTGTGCTCTGTGTTTAGAAGAACAGGAAGGAAACAGTGTATGAGAGAAGCAGGAGTTGTAAGAATTTGAGCTGAATCTAAGGGGGGGTGGCTCCTTCATTGTGAAACTTTCTGGTGTACATAAGGTTTATCGGACACAAGATATGCCCTGTTGTATTAGAACCTCAGAATTTAGGCGCGACTTGCTTTATACTGCTCTAAAAGTTTCTTCCAACTGTATTAAAAGGAGGAACTATTCTTAAAATAATCTCTCTATTCTAGTCTTAGGTTGTGCAGTGCATGGAAAAAAGTTCAAAAATGAGGCTTGGAGTATATATACCAGGCCATTTGAGAGTGGAAGAAGGGGCCATCAAAATTTCAAAAGGGCTCTTAACGATGAAAATGTTTCCATTCTACCTGACATATATTAGCAGTTTCTCTGCTCTCTGTGTATTGCACAACCCAAGTTGCTACCAGGCTTCCGCTCCACAATGCTTGTCTCCTTATTTGAGAAAACGGATGAGTAGGGAGGTGCTGTACTTGGCTTCAGGGCTACACTCCTGCAGCAGGCAGCTTGAGATGGACACAGCCCTTCATGGTTCCCTCTCAGTGTCACGTGAATTTGGCTGCTTTGTTGATCTTTCCATTGCCTTCCTTTCCGAAGAGGAAGCGTAGGGACGATCTTTATGCTGCTAGTGTTTCCTTCTCAATGAAAGGCGCACAAGATCACAACAGTAACACCATGCTTTGCTACAGTGGCTTGTGCATCAAAGGTCATTGGTGCCGACGACATGACGTGCACAGCCTTGTGTGCAAAGAAAATAACTTAATTTGGCATTAATGTTATATACAAAAGCAAAGATTTAAACAGATTTTTAAACCTCTCTATGGGAGAGATTGTCTACAGAAATATGGAAAGAATACAGATAAAATACTGACCATCATGCCAGTATCCTAAGCAACCCCAAATAGATGGAAGATCCCAGATGCTTTGCTATGAGGTAGTAACCAGAGAGTTTAATTTCACTGAACTGTGCCTGATCAGGTTTCCAGTTTACTGCTTCAGCATCTTTCTTTGTGCCTTAAGGCTTTTTGCAGTGTCTGCTGTTTGTGACTGTAGGGGTTGTGGTAGCTGGTTTCCCAAAATACATCACAGGGGGGTTGTGCCCAAGTCTTCTCTTTAAGATTTTTGCCTATAGCTGTAAATAAATACATTTCAGTCCTTTAGTCTTGTGTTCCTTCTTATTGCAAAGGAGATGGTAACTTCACGCTCTCATTTTGTTCTGGCTTTTCTCTAGAATACTTGAGAGTAGGCAGCAGCTTCACTTGTTCTCTGAATCTCTCTACCAGCCCCATTTCTGATTTAGCAAGTATTAACGAAGGTGCTAAAATGAGTAAATTGGAGCATCACAGTTCTGGTTTTGTTCATAGTACGTTAAGTTGCTGAGTTTGACGATATTCACTTGGAAGAGTTGCACTTCACGATGAAATGAGCAAAGCTTGTTGTGACTTTAGCTAGTTCTATTCCTAAGAATGTTGGCAACTTAGAAATGCTGCATCATTGCTGTAAAATGACACAGCACAATCGCACTCATTCTATTAGTTCTGATTTTTTGACTACTTTTTTGGTAAAAACCCCTTCTTTTACAGGACTGGTTGATTGCTTCTCCATTCTGAAGATTAAAATGCAGTTCTTGCGCTAGAGATTTTTTTTTTCAAATGGACATGGGAAAATCTGTCTTGTTTTGTTGACTGGAGTGTTATATTTCTTTTTTAAGATGGATGTTAGATATAATGAAGCCCACTGTATCATATGTTATCTGGTATGGCATTAGTATCTAAAGAAATTTTATCCAGTTGGCTGGAACAGCAGGGTATCATTTCTGGATTTTGTCTTTAGTCTAGCTATTTTTGGTCAGAAAAAGAGCAATAAAACATCTCTTGTTTAGTCTAACAGCTCCCATGATGCATATCAGACACAGAGGGAAAGTGTTTCCAAATAGAATACTTAGAAAAAACAATAAATCCTTCTCATGTTAGTATAGTGCTGTTCCCTGCGAGAAGTAGAACCGTTCTTCAGAGCCAGGACAAGGCAGAAAAGAGATTAATTCAGCTCTTTATCCATGTATTCATTTGTAGCTGTAGTCTTCATTCTGAAAGTGCGAAGAAAGAGGTGATAGGAGAATTGCTTACTTGTTTTAACCCTGTAAATTTATATACAACAGTTACTGGAAAAAGTGATTGGCAGCAAACTGTTGGCCCTTTTGAGTATTACACGTCAGAGCTTAACTTGTGAAATATTTATTTTAGTACACTAGTAAAAAGCTGGGATATCTGTATAAGAAAGGTAAGTTGTTCTGCATAATATCTAAATCTGGCTTCCAAAAAGGTCTTCCTATAAAATGGTCTCAATCAGAGCTCCAGGCAGAATCTGAGCAGCTCACACCCAGGCTTTTAGTAAGGAATTAGTAGGGATTTGCTATTTTACCTAGCTACTTGTGTTCATGACACAGTCTCCCCTGAAACCTTCTAGTTCTCTGTCAAGTGTAGTCAAAACTGAAATTTGCACCCACAATTGGGAAGGAAACGGATGAACGTGGATGCAGCACGATTGCACAGCCTAAAGAAACACGGCTAAAAACTATTTTTGGAGCTTAGCATCTTCCTGTCTACTGCAAAAACGAAATGAAACAACTGCCACATCTAATCAGTTCCTCGCTGTCTCCAGGGCTTCAGCCACGCTTTAAACCATATGCCATATGTGGAAAACAGGAGGGACTAATCTCCTGAGGAGTGAAACACTTTAACCTTTCTTGATTTTGGGGGCTGTCCAGGATATGTATATGGAAATTTATGGTTTGTGATAAATGAGAAGCCAGACTGGCAGACTATTTTTGGCCTTAAAGTGCATGAGGTCAACTTCCATAGTCTCATTGCAAAACTTGGAAAGCGTTTTCACCTCTGGTCCACATGCTGCGGATAGAGGAATGCCATGCTCTTCATGTCTGCGGCTCTACAGCTTTTGGCACAAATGTACTAAATTTTGCAAAAAGGAACACAACGGAATAGTAATGAAACCACAGCTGATGTAGTTCAAAAGCCAGAATTAAAAGCCATGTTATTTGTTTGTGTGTTGTTGGTTGTTTTTTTAACTCTCTGGGTTAACCAACTAGTTTTCAGATTCATTTGGTGTACTCTGCATCTTCTGCACTGTAGCTGTGATCAGAACCTCAGTTTCTTCCAGTCTGTGGGCAAATAAAGGACAAAGACAGACGGGAACTTTGCACTCTAAGCTATCAAACCTGTAATGCAAAGCAGAGTTGCCAGGTTTGTTTAAACGTTTCTTGTTCCTAGCTTTATTGTTTAGCATGTGAGACTTGGGTTAAACTAGAAAGAATTTAACCTCTGAAGCTTATTTACAATTCAAGTGAATGAATTCACATCCTAAGACGCACCCTGAGAGCTGGAAGGGATCTTGTGCAGCGTTTTAACTAAGAAGGCTGACAAAGATATGCCTTGGTAGCGGAAGGAGATGGGTAGAAACGTTCAAACCAGCAGGTTCTTTTCTTTAAATACTTATTGGACAGGCTTTCCCCGCTGCCTTTTTTTTTTTTTTCCCTAGTTTGTTTTTTTCTGAATGAGACAAAGGTACATGATGTAATTTATTCTAGGAAGGAGTGTAGTTGTAAATGTATGTGAAGCCTACAGCCCATTTCTTAGATAGTTCATGTGAGCATGCTAATTCATGATGCTCTAACAGTGCTTGTTTTGGAAGATCTGAATTAAAGCTGCTTGAGAGGGAGGTGGTAAAGGAAACAGGCTTGGATACACCGCATTAAAAGAGCATCATCTTTGTGCATTAAGAATCTATTAATAAAAGAAGTTTGCAGTGAATTTATTTACAATACTTAAAACCCAAGTTCTGCAAAGCCTTTGCTTAATTCTCTTTTCTTCTACTTAATTGCATACTTCCAAATGCTTTGGTTTTTCATTTGGGATTTAAGTTTATTTTGGTCTGTCCTCTGCTCTGCCTTTATGCACAAGAGGTGGTTTAGATTCAAGCCTAGAGCAAGATCGAAACGTTTTTAAAACACAAGGCAGAGGGTGAAAATGAAAACGCTCCTAAGACTTAGCAAATTCTTTTCTTTGTTGATTTTGTGTCATGGCTAGAGGAGCTAGTGACCTAGCCTAATACCATGTGAGGAGAAATTTATCACAAATGGGCTTAACCTAAACGTCTGAGGCATTGTCAAAGTCTTGATGCTTGTTTGTCAACATACACCGAAATGAAAAACTTGCTCCTGTTAGGAGCGTGCCATCAGATGTCGTACGTGTGGTCCCACATGGCATGCTGCGGGATTTTGTGCCCTGCTGTAGCTGTACTGTGGAGGGTGCTACGGGGGCTGCGAGTAAAGACCTAACAGTGGCCTTTTGTTTTCCTAGTTCCTCATTGTTCCTGCGATTGTGGGTAGCGCCCTTCTCCACCGGCTTTCTGATGATCGATGGGAAAAGATAACAGCATGGATGTACGGCATGGGGCTCTGTGCGCTCTTCATTGTCTCCACAGTATTTCATATCGTTTCTTGGAAAAAGAGTCACTTAAGGTATCCCTGTAAGATGTAGAAGATGTTTTATTTTCATGTTCTGTGATGCTTTTCCATCGTGTTTCTTGGTCAAAACCATGATTTTACCAAAGTCTGAGTGGTACTTTCTACTGAATCATGAAAAACCACCCTTGATTCTGGTAGAAGAAAATAGTGAGCCAGGCTCATCTATAAAAAAACCCTTTAACGTGTGCTGCTCTTTTGCAAGGAAAATATGTGTTTTTCTAGGCCCTAGTGGCTCTTAATCCAGAAATTGGATGGAGAAAACCTAATCTAAGTGGATGGTGGATATAATCCCATTGCAGAAATGAGAATGCTGTCTGGGAATATGGCATGCTCAACTGCTTTGAGGAACACAGAGTTTGCCAAGAGAATTATAATACAATACACAGTTAATGAGCAGAAAGCCTCTTTGGGAGCAAGGCAGCAATAAGCAAAACCAAGATGTGTCTTTATTTATAGATTCCCCCTGCTCTCCCTCCCCACCCCCGCACATTAGGACTCCTATGTAATTCTGGGCCATAAATTGGATTTAACCAGTAGTCACTAAATAGTAACAGTTTCTGGATTAGACAGAGCTGATGTGACAGCTTTCTGCTTCCTTGCCAGAGAGCAGGATGCATGATGGAGAGGAATGGAGGAGTGCTCATCTCCTGCCTGTCTCGCTTCTAACCTCCTGAAGTTGAAGTCAGCTGAACAGTCTTCCAGATGGTTTTAAGAGGTTATGGAACTGATGGTATTTTCCCAAAGTAATTCCAAAGTGTGTGTGGAAACTGAGATAATACAAAAGTCTTTCCTAAATCCGTCTTGGTGACTTGTTCTTTCTCTTACTAGGACAATGGAGCATTGCTTTCACATGTGTGACAGGATGATGATCTATGTCTTTATTGCGGCATCATATGCACCATGGTAAGAAAAGTGCAGCTTCAGAATTAAAGCTTTTTCCATTGTAAACAGTTTATCATTGCAGCTTTCCAATCGATAGGTGTCGTCTTAGATGCAATTGAGCACATTCTGCATTGTGAAATGCAACATAATGTAATCTCCTCGGATTCGCTGAACAGGAAGTAATATTACAAAACAGCAGAAAGTAGTTTATTAATATTCCACATACCCCAGTTTATGCTTCACTCATATCAATGCAAACACACATTTGGCTTCTCTACAGAATGTCCATGTGTCTTCTCCCCCATCATGCCTAAGTTATAGCTCTGAATATTTATTTATTTTTATCAAATCCTACTGCTCTTGTGCCAGTATGGTCCATGGATTTATCACTTCTGTCTCTTGAAATCTCTGTACCTCTAGGTTAAATCTACGTGAGCTTGGACCTCTAGCGTCTCACATGCGTTGGTTTATCTGGCTGATGGCTGCTGGAGGAACCATTTACGTATTTCTCTACCATGAAAAGTAAGAATTATTATTTGCATTTAACTCTAAACTGAAACTAAAAGGTGGGTGCTTTCTTGCTTTCTGAATGTTCCTCTCCATCCTTTCACACATTGAAATAAGAGCTTTGAAACGTGGAAATATGTGATGAGAACGGTGCAAGCTTACATCTCGTCAGAAGATAATTGTATTTACCTTGTCATAACATGTCTTTAGGCTATATTGTTTTCTTCCCTTAAAGGGGTGGGAAGTATCCACTTATTTTAAAATAGCTTTAACTCTTTCTACAAGAAAGCAGGGGTGAGAGTGGGTAGGGTAAGAAACCAGTGAAATGATGGCTTTCTTATGCCCTTAATCTATGTAGCATTGTGTATAGATTATATTGCCACATTATATTGTTTCTAAATACTGATGCCTACTGATTCCTGCTACCTTCTTGTTTTTGTTTTGAGATGTGAGCCCTTGAGTTTCAGATCTGAATTCTTGAGCCTGCTTTCATTACTTATCCTCAGGGGCCAAGACCCAATTTTTTGTCTTGGAGATGAGCTACTGAGGTTCTTGTCAAATAAGAAAGTATAAGTTGTCTCAATGCTTTATTCTTACTAGTACTTGATGCAAATGAATGCAGCTAGGCATTATTTGGAGAAGGTATTGCCTGCAGCTGTGCAATGCAGAGACAAATACTAGCTTTATTTTTGTCATAAAACAATGGTTATCTATCTGCATAGAAAGCTTTTTGAATAGTTTAATGGACCCCTGCTGACATAAAATTTAAAGGTTGGGGTTTTTTTTACTGTTGAAGGAAATGTTCATCATCTTGTACATCTCCTTAAATTACTCAAATTGTTCCTTTTTAGGTATAAGATCGTGGAACTCTTTTTCTATTTAGCGATGGGATTTTCTCCTGCTCTGGTAGTGACATCCATGGTAAGGAACGTGACTATTAACATTACAAACACACAAACTTTCCTTTTATAACTAGCTTAAGTTCCAGTGCAGCTCACTCTCCTCTGAAAAGATGTTAATTTTAGTCCACCATAACTGTAAATGTTCTCTGCAGAACCAAATATAGTCAGTTCCAGTTTTGGTTTATAGTTTACATTCAGTGAAACGCAACCTTGTTGTGTTGAACCTGGACTGTAGGGTCTAGATAAAAAGAGTGTAGGTTCCAAACTTCACTTCTGAAGACCCTCACTTCTGAAATGATACTGGATGTAACAATTAAATTACTTCCATTTTAGTAAAAATAAAGATAAAGATGTGAAGTACCTTAGCCTGTCAAGGAATGTTTTTAGATTTTACTATTTATGAACTTACTTAATGCCTACTTACCACTTACAAATTGGGAAAGAAACTTTTTCTTCAGGAAAGTGGAATGGACTTCTGATAACATGTTTTCCTTTTTCTTGGTCTATGTAACAGCTCTCTGGAAAATCTAATCAAATTGATTCCGTGGTCTGGACCAAGATGGGGGAAGTAAATTGATTCTTGCCCCTTTCAAAATTACTGAGGGGCAACAAAGCTAGATTTTGTTTCTTACTGGAGGCTTCTTTTTATCAGTGAAGGAGGGAAAAATTGAAAAGTTGAGAAGTAGTTGAATGGTATCAAACTGATGCGCTGTATCTGGGATAATTGATTTCTCAGCAGTCGGTGTTTTTTTTTTTTTTTCTTTTAAAAAAAATAGTTTCTTGGTGCATCTGTAAAGCATCCTACTCAGTCTTGTCCACCTCAAAACTTTGACATTTATTTATAGTTACACATTTTAAGTGGCTCTGAATAACCCTCTCTGCTGCTGGTATATGCCTGACACCTCTACAAGGTAGTGCCAGTTACAGTACTTCACTGTTCTACATGAATGCTGTCCTATACCAAAACCTTGCTGGATGCTTCATCCAACTAGCAGGAGTTGTGTTAAACTCACACTTACACACACAGTAATGTGGTTTCCTCCTTCTCCATATTTGTCTGCTCTGCTGATGAGCATGAAGCAAAAAATCAGACTTGTCTGAGTTCTTGAGTTATCCTGCTATTACTTCTACAGTGCTATTGAGATATATTATATAAATATATTTCACAAAGTGTAATCTAAATATTTATATACTGATTTTCTCACTTGTTCATCTCTCATATCCAAGATGTTCCGAGTTATGACAGCCAGCTTTTTGTGGGGGGAGACACTTTGTATTTTGCACATAAAATGTCCTTTACACCCCACCCCTAATCTTTCCTTGTTAATTGACAGAGTAACACCGATGGACTTCAGGAGGTTGCCTGGGGAGGTTTGATATATTGTCTGGGTGTGGTGTTCTTCAAGAGCGATGGAGTCATTCCCTTTGCCCATGCCATCTGGCACATGTTTGTGGCCACAGCAGCTGCTGTTCATTACTACGCCATTTGGAAGTATCTTTACAGAAGTCCTGCAGACATAATTCGTCACCTATGATAGATAGATATATGTATCTATCTATAAAAAAAAAAAAAAAATCTGCACTTGGCCTCTGTAACAGTATTATTTGACTTAAGGAATTTGGGGAAATCGGAAAATTGCACAGAAAAACTGCACTGACTTTGGTAGTTCTCTGAACACAATTACTGTGAACCGATGTTGTATGTGTCCCGCAATTGCCCATCATATGGCAAGTGCGGTAAATAACCAAGATACTGTACTGCAGTACTAAGAGTCCATTCCATGTTAGTAGAACTGGCTACCTGATGTTTACAAATCAATTTTGTATTCTAGTTTAATTTTACAATTTTTAACTATGTGAATTTTTCTAAATTAGTGATTCAAATGGTGAAGTCAGTGCAATAGTGAAAATGTTACTCTCCTGATCTGAAATGGGTTTCTATCACCTTTCCACTAGTCATATATTAAACATGAATCACAGACAAATAATCTACTTTTACCACCCATTATCTTGGTATAATGTGACTTTTATAGAAACTTTTTGTGTTTTTTGTAACTTTAAAAGTACATTTATTGAACTGAAAACACACAACTGTCATCTATGCAGTTACTCATGTTGCAAAGTCTTGCAAGAAACGGTTACATTCCACATACTGTACTGACAAGCAAACATGGTACCTCTTCCAAAGGTTGTATTACAGGTGTAATTGTAATAACCACTACTACGAACTAAAATTTAAATGTGATTCTGCAGAGTTTTAACACAATAGTATTCTGCTCATCTATAAAACCACTTAAACAGCACCTTAATTTGGCTTTATCCAAGGTGGAAATGAAATACTTTAAAAGAAATGGTTAACACGTGTTTCTCCCCGAGATTTCCCAGTTCTGCTCCGTGCTGCCCAGCCAGGCAGCAGTTTGGATGAGCGCCAACTTACCAAAGGTTGGCAGTATTAAGGAAGGTGGAGAGCTTTTATCCCCCTGTCCTACCGGAGAGTCTGTCATTTCTCCGGAATATGTAGACACATATTGGTGCTGTAATAGTAAGGCTTGGATTTTCAAAGGGATTTAAATTTTCTTGGGGTGGTTCTGTTGGGAAATCCTGGTCAGAGCAGCAGGTACAGAGCGACTGCTGACCACTTTGAATTCCTGGTTATTGGTTCTTCACAAGCACAGCCTGTCGGGGAGAAGAGGTTGAAGAACTTGATACGGTGTCGCTTGTCATTCTGGGACTTAACTCAGAGTAAAACTGGTCTTTAATTGTATTGCTGTCTTTCTGTACAGGAAAAGCAAATGTGGTAGGAAGTCATGATTGTAGAGCATGTGCATTAAATGACCAGGTGTAGAAGAGTCATTGTAATACTGTTTGTCCAATAATTGTATCCTGTCCCACTATATAATGAATGTCTTATATTAAGATTGACTTTATCCTTTTTCTAATTTACTTGGTTTTTCTTGTCAGTATTTAAAAACAAAACCAAAACGTGTTGCCTTTTTCAGATTTTGTTCTGGATATTGCCTGTCTGCAAACAATAAGCAGCAAGATAGGGAAGTTTTTCAAGGTACCATTTAATAGTGCACCTAGATTTGCCAGTGGGTTGCATATTTTAGAATATATACATTTGTATATGGAATTTACACGAGGGACAAACTTTACGTCAAGGCATTGAAGCAGACTTGCTGTACGGTGTTAGCAGGCGATTGGAGACACGGCACCGCTATAGCGGAGTAGTTAACTGCCCCAAAAGAGAACAAATGGAACCGCTGGGCAGGTGATTCCTGGTAGAACAGTCTCGCACATCTGGATGCCTCAGTTTTTTAACATTGTGTCTATTTTAATATTTTCCACTTTTTGTGAGTCCATATATTTTGTTTAAATGCAGTACTGTTAAAACCACTAAAATACATGTAAAGGTTTTCTGTAGTCAAAAGTGAAACTATTGCTTGACTATGTTTGTTTTCATCTTAAGTTAATTTTTCATGGCATTGCTTTTTGGAGTGTTTGAGATGGTTTTTAAAAAATTTCAATTCGCCAAAATATTTTGAATTACTGTATTCTAGTCAATATTATATTGAATGTACTAGACTAACAATAAACATTTTGTGCAATTTGGAAACTGTTGTGTTTTTGGTGGTTGTTATTTTTCCCCTCCAACCCTTTTGCAGGAAAGTCAGGGACTAACGCTGTTCCCACTCTTGAAATAAGAGATCCAGAGTTGAACCTAATGACCCTCATGCTTGCTCAGGCAGCTCATTAAATAAAAATTGCAGGAAAGATCACAATCCAAACTGTTCAATTTGTGGTGCGGAAAAAAGTATGTTTACATGTAAATTTGGGTCAATATTGGGAACTCTCTACTTTCCCTTTTGCTATTCTGGATCAGTTTTCTTACACCATTATATGCTGGTTTCTGGTTTTTTCAATTGTATAATGCAAATACATAATTTTGCTCCTATCCCTATAGGAGTATCATTGCATTAAATATAGACAAGCTGAACTGAAAACGCATTTCTGTCTGGAAAACAAATGTCAATTAGCCATTACACACACACACACACACACCCTGTCTAATTGCAGCTCTCTGGGCTGATCCTCCCAGGAGTAACAATAGTGCTTTTCCCAGTAATGTTTGCTGCAGTAGCAGAGATGGGATTTGTCTCTTTAAAATGTTTTTAAAAGCACTTGCTTCTGTATTTTCTATGCCTCTAGCTTTTAGAAGTTGAACAAGTACACCAAGTTTAAATGAAGTAGTGATTGCATTTTGGTTTTGCAGGTGGACCTTTCCAGAGGATGTCTTGGGCTGCAACAGGCACTCGGAACGCTGGATGCTTTCAGTCTCATCACTTCTAGGTTGTATTTTCCTAATACAATATTGTGTGCATCTAAAAAATAATTTGGTTATTTGAAGGGATTAATTTAAGAATTTATTCTACAGTGCACTACTTCTTTGTATTATTTTTTTAATTCAACAGCAGCAAGGAATGCACAGAGGAAGTATTAATTTTCCTTTCTGTTAACAAAAGCAGTCATGAATGCAGGTTGCTTTTCCAATTTTGTCTTCCCTGCATCCCTCTTAATTTCTTATGATTATGGTAAGACGCTGTAGTGCTGTCTTCCAGTTGTAGGTAAGGAATTCCTTTCAAAGGAGGCTTGAGTGCTTGAATGAGTTTTTTGCAGCCTTCCCTGTATCTATTGAAGGTACGGTGCAGGGATGGGATACTTCAAAGTCTTTGAAATAGTTTACCAGAATTTTGAAGTTGCCTAAATTCCAGATCTTCAGAACAGCTCAGTGTTAGCAGACAGGCAAGATGGTTCCATGTAATGTGTTTTTACCACAGTTTTGTTGTAATGAATTGGGTTTTGCCTGGTTTGAAGCACCAGGCCTGCGCTGGGCGGGCAGGGCTCTGGTGGTGGCGCAGAGCGGCAGCTCCGCAGCGTTGGCAGGAGGCTGGATGGGGCAACCTGCTTCGCAGCCTGCGGGTGATCGCTGCGGTCACCGTGAACTGCAGTTTGGTTTCTTACATGATTTTCACAGCTGGCAACTGAGCTCTGGCATGCTGGTATGTGAACTGTGTAAATCACACAGCTGTCCTAGCATTTTTAGAGCTGCTGCTTGGTGAAATGTGTGCGTGTCGGGGGCTGGAATGAGCAAGTTAAAGAGAAGACTGAAGTTTTTCACAGAGCCTTTTGTATCACCCTCTTGCTTAAATGTCCCTCTTGCTTAAATGTCCCTCTTGCTTAGGACCCCGCCGCTTGTTTGGAAGCCTTTGAGTCTCCTACACAATTCTTTATTTAGGTCTGGTGTACTTAGCCAGTGATTTCTCTGGAGGCTAAGGCAGTCATGTTCACATCATGTGCTTGACTAAGTCCTTTCTCTCTGCTTTGCTATTTTTAAAAGAATGCAGGATGTTTGTTTCCGCTCACTAATTGCTTTCACCATCAATAGGTGTCATAAGATTAAGGCTAAAAATAGTTAACAAAGGAATGACCAGGATGGCCAGGCGTCCACGCTTGCCAGCTCCAGGCTGTGGGCGCAGCCTTTGGGCCTCCCCTGTGACCCTGAGCAGGCGCTTTCCCTGTGGCACGGACCCTTGTTCTGCAGCAGCTTGAGGCTGCCCATCTCGTTCTTCTGTTTGAAAGTGTTTCATTCACCATTTGTCTTCACTAAGCACTGTCAGAGCCTGGAGCGTACATCAGACCTGAGATGTTCGCTAGTGGCTGTTCAGAAGCATTCGGGTGCTTTTAATTTGGTGTTACAGCAGCGCTGGGAGGACTGGTGCTGCCCAACCGCGGCACAAGCAGTGGCGTGGTGGTCACGCTGTGCCTGGGGCTGGATGCCCCCCCGGCTGCTCAGTGTTGAGGTCTGGACGTGCTTGAAGCTTGAAAATCTGCCGCAAAGAAGCTTGAGGTGAAGCACCTTCAGAGCACCTGTGCCCTGTGCAGTCTGAACTAAGGCAGTAGTTCAGTCCTATACATCCAACCTCTAGGGAAAGCACTGGTTTCATTAAAAATGCCTGTTTGGGTAGTATTTTATAGCAGACTGACATTTTGTTACTGAGCTTGGGCGTCTGTTTGCTAGCTTGTCTTTACTCCAGGCTGCTGATGGTGGAGAGCCTGAGGGCAAGCAGAAAGGGTGGCAATGCTTGCTCCCTCTGTAGAACCGGGGCACTCGTTACTAAGGATAAGCTGGGGAACCCAAATCCTCTTGCAAAAGGCTAGCAGTGGAGCCAGGACCAGTTTTATAACAGAAGTTACATCATTGGCTCTAAGGAGGCTAGCGTGCTCTCCCAAGGATATGCTCAGATGTCTTTGTTGCTTAGCAGCCTGAGCCCGGCTGGCGGTGGATTTATGCGCCCAAATCCTTTAGGTGCCTTTGAAAATCTCCCTTAAATTTTCACATCAGTGAAAAGCCATTCGTAGAGTCCTGCCGAATTAGCGGGTGTAGCTCCAGCAGACATCGTCTTGCTTTCTGGTGTGTCGTGGAGCGAGGCAGAGGTTTGGTGTGCAGGCAGCAACCAGCCGCAGTATGCAGCTTCCTTGACGTGGTCGGCCAGCGGCCGAGCCTCATCTCCGGCAGGACATTGGGACCAGACCACAGGATGCTTGGATGGGGAGCTGTAGTTATTCCGGGTGTTGAAACACTGAAACCCAACCCACAACACCTTCTGAACTCAGGGGACCCATGGTGCATTTATCTTCAGACAGCAATGATTTAGCAGCGTCATAAATGCTAAAGGATTGAACACCTTTGCAGTGGGGGCTCAACCAGCTTCTCAAATTAAAAACCACACACTTGGGAAAGTAAGGATTAGTTTAGGAAGGAAATAAGGATTTTATTTTTTTTTAATATGTGTCTTCATATATGAACATGTTTGAATGAACATGCCTTTTGTCTTGAAGCTGATGGTGGTGCTGAGCAGCTTCATCAGCCGTCTGCTAAATCACCGAAAACAAAGCTTGAAGGGACGCTGAGATATTTTTAGCCCATCTGCCTGCAGGCAGGACGAACGCTGCCTGTCAGTCCTGACGTGCTTGTCCAACCTGTTCGAAAAAGCCTCCGACAACAGGGATTTCACAATCCTCCCAGGCAGTTTATTTGTGTTTCACCCTCTGCCCTCTTAGACTTCTTCCTGCTGTCCAAGCAGTATTTTTGCTGCTATTTCAGCCCGTTACTCCTTGTCCGGTCTGCAGTGAGCTCAGAGGGGAGCCCTCACAGGCGGCTTTTATACGGCCGCAGACTGTCACTTCTTTCCTTGCTTTTTTCTCCCCCAAACTTCAACAAACGCAATCCCTTCAATCTTTCTTTGTGGCCACCTTGTTTAACAGTCAGGGGAAGTTCCAGAATGACTTCAGACACAATTTTCCCAGCTGGTAATGTGACATGGGGACATGAGAAATCCATGACAGTGCAAAATGAGGGAGAGGGGGAAGCAGGAGCTGTAATCTTGTGTTTCAGGAGAGAGGGACAGCGAGCCTGGGGCAGGCAATGCCGCCGAAACCAGCAGAGAGCCGAGAAGGGAAACCGCTGCGGAGAACTTGGCCCCTCCTGGGGCACTGCAGCATCTGGAACGGAGGAAGCTCCCTGAGAGCCTGGGGAGGAAAGGGACAGGGCCGGGGGCTGCCTGGGGAGGGGGCTGCAGGTCACCCAGGTGGCTTTCACACAACCGGGGAGTGTGAAAGCCTCAGCTGTGAGGGCACAGCACAGATACGAGATGGCTTCGGGCCGTGTGGGGCCTATGGGGGGGAAACAGGAGCTGGAACCAAGCACCAGGAGCCTCTGGAGCAGCCTGCCCGGCCGCAGCCTGGGGCTGTGCCCCACGCAGCCAGGCGAGGGTGGGAGCCTGGGGCTGGGTGCTCAGCACCCGCTGGGAGCCACTGGTTGCAGCGATGCCGCTGCGATGGGCTGGGTAATTTCTGTAACGCGCCTCGGTGAGGGGCTGCGTGCCCACGGCTGTGTCCCACTCCAGCCAAAGTGCTCCTATCCCAGCTCTGCCATCCCGTGGCATCCCAGGAAAGCTGCTTTTCCTCCTCCTCCTCCTCAGTGTTTTTGTTCTGGTTATTGGTTTTATTGTTGTTGTGCGAATGGGGATTTTTGTTTGGTTGGTTTGGTTTGTTTTTTAAACTAATTCTGGTTTGCTTTTACTTCTGGGCTCCTTTTTCAGTATTTCAGTGCAATCTCTCCCCCATCCCCGGTGCTGCACTTGCTTCCCACAGAGCTCCCAGCAGCGTCTCCAGGACAATCCCCTGCATCCCAGCTGGGATGCGCTGGGGGTCCCACCAGACACACGCTTGCTGCCATCTGGCAGGAAAGCACCCACCATGCTGCAAACATCGCTTCCCACTCCAGCAAGGTCAGGCCTGGGTGGCGTGAGCGGGGGAGACGCCGGCGCTTGCCCTCGGCTGGCACAGGGCGACACCGGCCAGCGCAGGCACGGGCCTGGGCGGGCAGCAAGTGCT